TTTTATCCCTCCTGCCTATAGGTTGTCTGAGGACAAAAATCCGTAAAACAAGAAATAAAATTGGTCTGGCCTTAATGACCAAAAGAATCGCAAAAAACATTCCTTCTCTCTCAAGATCCCACTTAGATCTGACATGAAAAATCAATAATCATTCCATCATAAGCATTAATGTTCATCATTCCATTTACTAAAGACAAAAGAACTTCCCCACAGAGCCGAAGTGATAAGGAAGCGCTGCAGCATACCCAGCATCAACAACAGTGCCCACACAGTCCCCTTGGGGACAACAACCTGGAAACCTATGAATAACCTGAAATTAACTGTCAAATGTAAAAATTGCATTCTTTAGCCTTCATCCTGTGATGACAACTGGCTGGCATTTATTGCCCTTAAGTTTCAATAAGAGGCTATTTCAGTCTTTTGTCAAAAAGGGCGTCAGAAATATCTGACAGTCGTATAAATTTACTCAGATGTTATACAATGTCAGTTCCTTCCCACGAGCTTCTGCTAACCAAAAACAAACTAAATCTTCCTTCTCCCTGTCTGTAAAGCTGAAGCCTTCAGCTGAACAATGCAGTGATTTATCTTAGGGCCACAGCTGACAAGTGAGTGAATCAGTCAGTCAAACAATGGGTGAGTGGGTGAGAAGGTGGGTGGGTGAGTGGATGGGTGAGAAGGTGAGTGGGATTCAGTGGGTGAGGTTTTATGCCACTTTTAGCAACATACCAGCAACATCACAGCCAGTGACACCAGAAATGGTCTTCACAGACTGTACCCATTTGGGGAATGGAGCCCCAGTCTTCAGTGTGACAAGGAAGTGCTTATGACGTCTTCTTTGACAGGGTAATTACAGACTCAGACCTTTCTCTGCCACAAACATGGGACCTCATCTTCAAAAGCTGTACTGCGAATATGTTTTTCCAATAGGCTTCACACATTGTTCCTATGTGGGGAAATCGAACCAGGGTCTTTCGTGATACAACCTAGTTAAATATTAGTGTTGGGAATTGGTTGAAATCTCACAATTGATGATTGCTTCATTACCAACAAACAATCAAAAAATTGGTTAGCGTCATTTTTCAGATTTTCCTATCCAGGTTGTTATTCCAGATACATATAACATGATGCAACTTACTACTTTAAAGTGATGAAATATGTTTTCCAAGTGACCAATCTTCGATTATTTCAATTAATCGGAACACCGCTATTAAATATGCAACAGACTAAATTGATGGATACACAGCTGCCTTGGTTTCTGTTAGAGTGAGTGACTTGGGATTTACTCTGTTTTTAGCAATAACCTGACAATGGAAAACCAGAAATGGGCTTCACACATTGTTCCCATGTGGGTAATCGAACGGCAATACAACCTTGTTAAATATTCAACAAAATATAAACTGCTAGAAACACAGCTGCCTTGGTTTCTGTTAGAGTTAGTGAGTTGGGTTTATGCTGCTTTTAGCAATATTATGGCAGGGGATACCAGAAATTGGCTTCACACATTGTACACATGTGGGGATTCGAACACAGTCCTTGGGTGTTACAACCATGTTAAATATTCAACAAATTAAATTGCTAGCAACACAGCTGCCTGGCTTTAAGTTTGAATGGGGTCCCCTCACTAAACTGGGACCTTGAATGTCCTAATTAAGAAGGAGCGATTGTGCAATAATCCTTAACAATAGAAGGAATGGTATATAGACATTACTACACTACTGTCCTTTAGATACCTTTCATCTTATATCAAAATGTATATAAAGAGTGCTGGTGAGGTATTATTAGGGCTGTAACGATGCATTTAACTATCAATGGATTGCAATTGTTGAGTCAAAATTACAAAGTTTCAAGTGTCAAAGCTTTTCTGCGTTTCAAATTCTTGTTAAATGTGATTTGCTTCTCCAGAATCTTGTTCAACATATATTTTGCATGACCCATTACTCTTCAATCTCCATTACAGTGACAAATAAGTGTGATGAATTCTAGCACATTTAGCAAACACAAACATCAAATAATGATGACAATGAAACTTAAAACTCACTTATATGGTAATAATTATTTACTCATTTTGGAGGCCATGTGCATGGGAAAAGGAACATATTCTAAAGTACCATATCAAGATGAGCTTAAATTTTTATCAAATTGCTTCAGCAGATCATTGGAATTACAAAAGGTTGGGAGAAAAACTTCAGTCAGAGAACTTAACTTACACACAAACAGAGAACACTTGTAAGTGTTCAACAACACATCATGGCCTCCTTCAAACAAGGCTACACAAACCAGGTCTTCCCCTTCAAAAGCATGTGTTATCCTTGGGGACACCTGCCATGTGTCATTAGCCTCTCAGTAACTTAGCCCACAATTCTGTAGAGGTTTCTCACTAGTACAAAAAGGTTAGAGAATGTTTTTGTGTTTTGATGTGAAAGAAGTCTGTTTTGACTGTACATGGATTAATGTTCATGTTTGGAGTGCTAATCTATAGATGATGTAGGCGTACACCAGCTCACCACAGTACAACCTCTGTTACTAGGTAACAGTCTGGGACAGAAGCCCTACTATTGTATTGGAGTACCATCACTGCTGAATAGGGATCCACCTAGGTGTTGTACTCGAATACATGTACCATTGTACTGGAGTCCGCCTGCTATTGTACTGGAGTACACCTAGGTGTTGTACATGAATACACCTGCCACTGTACAGGAGTATTGTATTGGGAGTACCATCACTGCTGAATAGGGATCCACCAAGGTGATGTACTCGAATACATGTACCATTGTACTGGAGTCCGCCTGCTATTGTACTCGAGTACACCTAGGTGTTGTACATGAATACACCTGCCACAGTACAGGAGTATTGTATTGTAGTACCATCACTGCTGAATAGGGATCCACCAAGGTGATGTACTCGAATACATGTACCATTGCACTGGAGTCTGCCTGCTATTGTACTGGAGTACACCTAGGTGTTGTACATGAATACACCTGCCACTGTACAGGAGTATTGTATTGTAGTACCATCACTGTTGAATAGGAATCCACCTCGGTGTTGTAGTCGAATACATGTACCATTGTACAGGAGTACCATCACTGTTGTACTGGATTCCACCTGCTATTGTACTCGAGTACACCTAGGTGTTGTACATGAATACACCTGCCACTGTACAGGAGTATTGTATTGGGAGTACCATCACTGCTGAATAGGGATCCACCAAGGTGATGTACTCGAATACATGTACCATTGTACTGGAGTCTGCCTGCTATTGTACTGGAGTACACCTAGGTGTTGTACATGAATACACCTGCCACAGTACAGGAGTATTGTATTGTAGTACCATCACTGTTGAATAGGAATCCACCTCGGTGTTGTAGTCGAATACATGTACCATTGTACAGGAGTACCATCACTGTTGTACTGGAGTCCACCTGCTATTGTACTGGAGTACACCTAGGTGTTGTACATGAATACACCTGCCACAGTACAGGAGTATTGTACTGTAGTACCATCACTGTTGAATAGGGATCCACCAAGGTGATGTACTCGAATACATGTACCACTGTACTGGAGTACCATGACTGTTGTACTGGAGTCCACCTACTGTTGTACTGAAGTACACCTAGGTGTTGTACTAGATTACATGTGTTTTACTGGAATACACCTACCACAATGTGTAGTTGTTGAAAACATCCAAAACGAAACATGTCTAATTGCCATTCACTGTACCAACCTTTATTTCATTCTTATATCTCTACAAATTAAAGCTTACATTTCCACTTTCATTCTGACTTGCTCACAGCAACACTAATTTCCAAATGGAAACATCCTCATATGTGTAATCAGTAATAAGCTAATCTTCTGATGTCATTTGTCCAGTGTGAGTGTCTGCACATATTCTATACACTGTCTACAAGAATGGATAATTTCCATCCATTCTGAACACAAAACCATCAAAAGAGCATTTCTTTAAATCAAGATGCCCATTTCCAGCCGTGAAGGCACCAATGTGCAAGTCCCCAAAGCGTTTCCTTTATGTGATCCAGCATTCTTCTAACCTGGCCGGACAGGTCTGCAGGGAGATGTGGCTACTTGCTGCAAGACAGCAGGCAGGACAGCACAACGTCATGTGTCAATAACGATTCCTACGAAGATGTCAAGGGTAAGTAACAGAGTCATGAAAGCCTTTATTATATCCTGTGGGTGTAATGGATGAGGTGAACCATTGTGTGTGATGTATTGCTCTTTTCTATTATACCATTATCAGGCTGTACATCAAAGAATGGCAGGCGATGTAAGATGGAGAGATGTTTCATTACCATAAGAGAGCTACAAACATTATGCACAATTATGATCAAGAAACTCAATTTCCAAACCCTTCATTACCTCCAGAACACATCACATGAAAATTGTATACACACAAACTAAGTATATTGGCTGAAAAAAACATGAATGAAAAACTGCTTATTCAGCAAAAGCTAGTAATGTACCAGAAAATCAAGTTAACTGACAATGCATCAATACTTATGATGAAAGTGCAACCACAAACTAAGTTTGATTTTTCTACCTCTCAACCGAGACACAGAGCATTGAAATATATCATACTAGAATGTGGAAGAAATTCTCTTAGAGTAGCACTGTAGTGGTTGTTTCCTAGGAATATATCATGATGGAATGGTGAGTGAGTGAGTGAGTGTAGTTTTACGCTGCACTCAGCATTATTCCAGCTATATGGCGGCAGTCTGTAAATAATCGAGTCTGGACCAGACAATCCAGTGATCAACAGCATGAGCATCGATCTACACATGATGCAATGGAAACAAAACATATTGGATAACAAAGGGTGGCACTGATGTTTCCTAAATATTGCCAAACATGGTAAAACCTTCTCACTCAAACACCCACATACCCACTCACTCACTCACCCAAACACCCACATACTCACTCACTCACACATCCACATACCCACCCACCCACTCACTCACTCACTCAAGGAGAGCTGCTGTACTCACACAAAGAAGAATCTTGTACAGCAATGGTCCATGCTAGGACACACCCATATGTCGTTGTTCTTTTTCAGGTTGGACGAAGTCAACACTGCAATAATAAAAAAAATGTAATCATCATTTGAGAATATATATAAATTCTTAATCAACAACATACAATCAAGATCCCCCACCCCATACCCTTTGGCATTAAAACACTGCATGCTATTGTGTTTTACATCATATCATTCACTCAGAGCTTTAGACCTCATGTTTATGAAGTTTGTTATACATCCCAGACACCATTTAAAAGATTCCATGGGCATCAACTCCTTAAATAAAATTATTTTTGAATGAAAATGCAAATTCAGATTTTATATTTATCTGAGTGCCATTATCGAAAATGACAGAAATCCCTGTGGCTTTCCGCTCGGTAACATGACATAACAACGGAAAATAAAGTTTCAGGCTCATCATTAAACCTATATGTATAAGATATAAGAAAGGTGTGTCAGTAAAATCGAAACAAAATGGCGTCCGGCTCGCCTCGGGTGGGTTTCGGGTCTGACAAACAGCTTTGACCGTTGAATAAACTGCACAATTTATGCTCAGTTGACCTCTGTAAAGTACCTTTATGCATCACTAACTTGGTGAATTTATTCTCATTTAAAGCTTTCAATAATTTTGCCGTCCATTCATGCAACGAAGTCAGGACATATGCCCGAAGTAAACAAATCTCAGGCTACAGACCAAGACCGAATAGCAGAGCTCTCTGATTGGATAATATAGTTGCACGTTAAAAGAGGTGGGAATAATAGAAGACGCTATCAAATCAGAGACTCGCTCTGCTATTCGATGCGGGTCTGTAGCCTGAGATTTGTTTTCTTCCGGGCATATGTCCTGACTTTGTGCATTCCTAAAATTATGTCTCATTTTGACATGACTACTGCCTGGGCGATTAATCGGCCTCCGGTGTCTGGGGACTCATAACGTTGTGGCCGATTATTCGGCCTGCGCTGTTGAATGGGTTAAAGCTGGACCAGAGACAACTGGTTACAACATGACACAAGCTCATTGGGCTAGACTAAGTGCAAAATGGATAAAATATCAACTGAATGCTGTAAATAGACACAAGTACAGTGGACTACCTAAATCTACATCCAATGAAACCAGCGAACAATGCAACCTAAGACAGTGAGAGCTGGTAAATTTGAAAAAAGAAATCATCAAAAGAAAAAAACACAAGAAAAAACATAAAAGCCAATAAGTTCTTGCATCACATTTTTTGTGGAGTTCAATTCATATCATTCAACTGTTTATTTCTTGTCTGTAGCTCTGTGTTATTTTTGCTAAAAAACATTCTGGATGTTGGTTTTGAGTTTCTGGAAGGCTAAAAAAGCTAATTCTGTATCAGGAAGGGCGGATACATAGGCTTCTCAACTTTCCCAATGATGGGTCACCAGTTACCTTGTTGTCCTGATTAACAGTATGAATTAACTACATACAGACAAACATGGAGTGGATGTTAACTCATGCCTATGTTCAGATGTTTCCCAGCATCTATTGTTACGGAAATCAGCAATCAAGCCATCAATCATCTTATCACAAAACAATGAGTGAGTGAGTGACTTTAGTTTTACGCTGCACTCAGCTCTATTCCAGCTATATGGCGGCAGTCTGTAAATAATTAAGTCTGGACCAGACAATCCAGTGATCAACAGCATGAGCATCGATCTGCGCATTTGGGAACCGATGGCATGTGTCAACCAAGCACCCCATCCCGTTAGTCGCCTCTTACAACAAGCATGAGTTACTGAAGGGTTTTCCTTCACGGGTCAGAGTGAGTGAGTGAGTATGGTTTTACGGCGTTTTTAGCAATATTCCAGCAATATCACGGCAGGGGACACCGGAAATGGGCTTCACACAATGTGCCCATGTGGGGATTCGAACCCGGGTCTTCGGTGTGACGAGCCAACGCTTTAACCACTAGGCTACCCCACCGCCCTCGGCGGGTCAGAAAACAATGCAGTACACAGAGTAAATTGGGGATTAGTACCAATAGTCAGTGCCAGTATCAAGAACAAATAGATACAAGAGTACTAAGAGTAAAATGTTTTAATAATTTTGGCCATAACCAGAAATAGATGCTGGTTAACTGAGATTCCCAGAGTACTCAGTTGCAAAGTTAAACAGACTTCATTGCAGAGAAGATGGTGCTTTAACATTTTACACAATACGACTAATATTATTTCTGATACATAAAGATATATTCTTTTTTTTTGTTGTTTACATGCTATAAAATATCTCAATAACAGAATTATGACCACTGTTGAAAACACATATTCATAAAGCTTTGCCATTGCTTCTCAAAGCCTAGTGGCGTCGGGGTAGCCTAGTGGGTAAAGCGTTCGCTCATCACGCCGAAGACCCAGGTTCGATTCCCCACATGGGTACAATGTGTGATGCCCATTTCTGTTGTCCCCCGCTGTGATATTGCTGGAATATTGCTAAAAGCGGCGTAAAACCATACTCACTCACTCACTCACTCACTCAAGCCTAAATTTTGTGTAATTCTATACACAAGAAAACCTGTTCTTTAATTACATGAAGAAGCCCATAATGTTGCATCATGACGAGTGTATAAGTTGTTGTGGTTTCAAAGAAGAAAAATAATAGCCTGAAAAATTCCTAGGATAACCTCTTGAAGATATACAGTTTATCCCTTCTATCAATCCCAGGCAACCTGAACAGACAGGAGGACATAATGCCAAGGCCTATTAGTTAACCTTATGCATTTTTAAGTTACTTGACTCATTTGCCCCCAAAGTAGCAGGAGTACCCGATATTAATACTAACCTTCACACAGCGCCACACACGTAATGTTGTCACTCATCAGGAAACGGGTCTTGGACTGGAACAGAAATGATTGGTTTTCATGACAAGTTCCTGCATAGTGCCAATGTGGTGACCCACTGACGCCTCTCACGAAGGCTTGAGTGTCATGACCCTGCCACCGAGTTCATCACCAAATGTTTTATTCTAATGATCCCTTGCATACCAAAGCCATTTGGCTATGACCAGTTTAACCTCAGCGTATGGGAGTTAATTCCATTACTGATTAATAAGGCAAAAGAACTAGGTCAACAGGAAGCACTTGTACAACATTGGAATTAGATCATGAAAAGGTTTTAGTGTCGCATACATGATTTACTGTACTTCCTGTCTGTCTGTCTGTCTGTCTGTCTGTCTGTCTGTATGTCTGTCTGTCTGTCTGTCTGTATGTATGTATGTCTCTGCATAGGGTTTTTCACATTTATCAAGTCTGGCTTTATAGTGAGTGAGTGAGTTTAGTTTTACGCCGCACTCAGCAATATTCCAGCTATATAGCGTCAGTCTGTAAATAATCGAGTTTGGAGCAGACAATCCAGTGATCAACAACATGAGCATCGATTTATGCAATTGGGATATGATGACATGTGTCAACCAAGTCAGCCAGCCTGACCACCCGATCACATTGAGTTGCCTCTTACGACAAGCATGGGTTGCTGAAGATCAATTCTAACCCTGATCTCCACAGGTGTTTGGGTTTATATCAGTTATGTTGTGCTGGCCCAAGGAGATACCAGGAATCAGTTTAACAGAATACCCAATGCATATACAGTATACTGAACCCGGTGAGAGTCAGGGTAAAAACAAGTACCATCTTGGTGCAACACATCCAGGGATCATTCAGTCAAACGTCTGCCCTCCAGACAGACACTCTATCCACTAGATAACTAGATAACACTAGATAGATAACACTAAGATAACACTCCTCAATGTTATGAGCATATTACATGTCCAATGAGTTACCATCGACTAATGAAATAATCTTCATTACAGTTTCAGTGTACCAAATAAACTCAAAGGGTCCTTATCATGATATCATGAGTACAACGTAAACAGGTCTAGATGGTCCCCAGATTGAAATACTACAACCCAACCTAAAAGAATCCCAAGATACTATTCTGAACGCTCAATACAATATGAAATCCAAATGTTTGCAATATCTCATTTTGTCTCATCACTGGCACAGGTCCACAGAACAACTTATGCAATTGAAATTTAATTTTGTCCCAGTTGGGTTCATTTTCATGGTTTTAAACAAACAACTGTCAGACAGTTCAATCAGAAACATATAAATTCCTGAAGCAAGAGAGATATACATGCCTGATGCAAAGAATACTGCAATGTGTCACGCTTTTATCTCAGTGAGTGGAAGTTACAGTTCTACCATATCTGTCAAAATGTTTTATACATTAATCTGTTACCATGGTGACAGATGTATATGAATAAGCTAAAAAAATCCAAATACATACATTTACATTGAAAGAACATTTGTTCCCGACAAAAGCAAGGAATTTAATCAGGATTATGCCAAAGAAAGACAAAACATGCAAACAATCAGTCTGAGCTGTCGAAACTCTTTATTTCCTGAAGAGATGGATATGAACAATTCCTCCAAAACAAGAAAAGTGCTTATACCACGAAACTGATGAAGACCAAAGCCAATCTGTAAAATATGTTATATTTGGGATTACACTTTCTTAGTAAAGTACAAATTCGATTACTTTTGTTGGGTTGAGTCCCATCCAGGATTCGAACCCATACCCTTAGAATCAGGCACCTAATCGCCAGCACACAAAGTCAGCCGCCTAACCCACTTAGCCATGGCGGCTTCCACAAAATGGAAGTCGGACAACCGGTAGTCTAGACTGCGGACATTGTGTACCCCTATGATAAGTGTAAATTGCCAAAAGCTATGAATACACAATGCCATTTAGAAAGTGGTGAAATGTAACATAAGTTACATATGGGATTACACTTTCATAGCAAAGTACAGATTCTAGTACTTTTGTTGGGTTGAGTTCCATCCAGGATTCGAACCCATACCCTTAGAATCAGGCACCTAATCGCCAGCACACAAAGTCAGCCGCCTAACCCACTTAGCCATGGCGGCTTCCACAAAATGGAAGTTGGACAACCGGTAGTCTAGACTTCGGACTTTGTGTACACCTATGATAAGTGTAAATTGCCAAAAGCTATGAATACACAATGCCATTTAGAAAGTGGTGAAAAGTAACATAAGTTACATATGGGATTACACTTTCATAGCAAAGTACAGATTCTAGTACTTTTGTTGGGTTGAGTTCCATCCAGGATTCGAACCCACACCCTCAGAGTCAGGCACCTAATTGCCAGCATAATCCCCAATATAACACATATTAGATTTGACCACTTTCTAAACAGCAATGTGTATTCAATGCCAGTCTGTTTTGGAATGTGCCTAATTTTCTGGGAACAGGTCAAAAGGGCCGCATGACAAAAGGGCCGCAAAACAGAAAAGTCAAAAGGGCCGCAAGAAAGTCAAAAGGGCCACAAACCCCTAGTCAAAAGGGCCACATCAAAAAGTCAAAAGGGCCGCATCATAGAAGATGCACGTTTTTATATTCTCCTTTGCAGTTTTGTTTTAATATCTAGTTAGTATTTATTTGGTACCGTTGGGCTTACATTCGTTATGCATTATACTACTGTTATATGTAGTATTCAAGATTTCATTCAACATTCTTTTTAGCATTTTTTATGAAATTATCAGCAAATCACATCACCTAATCACGAATATTATTCGTCAGTGACACAAAGTCTTCCTCCCACTGTATTTTAATTTTGTTTTCCCTTTGTTTTAATTATGATTCTGGCCATGAAACGTATTTTTAAATCTTATACATCCACATATCAGAGAGAAAATATCTGAACACTGTTTGCAATATTGCAGAGATGCCAACCCTAATTTAGCCCAATTAGTATTTTGGCCAAAAACTGATGCAAAAACTAGTATTTTGGGGGCAAAAATTAGTATTAACCTTTCAAAAGAATTATGTAATTTTCTGAGTAAAATTGATATTTTATACTTATCCTGACTCATGTATTATTGCTTGTCTCCTTCCTTTCCCGAACGTTAGAGGAACACTTGTATCTCTTTTTTGAAGCTCCCTTTCAAAAAAGCAGACGTAAAATCACTACTCACCACGAGTTGTGTCCCTCTGGTTTTGGCGGGAAAACGGCACCACCCGTCTTCCCATGCTTCACTCTCTCCGAATAGCTAGCCCGACACCTCGATTTACAGGGAAATCCAAAGTGCCTAGCGGGGAGGTTGGGAGGGCTTACCTCATGAGTCAGGATAAGTATAAAATATCAATTTTACTCAGAAAATTACATATTTTTCCTTATCCTGAATCATGTATTATTGCTTGTAGAATCCGTCGGATCTGGTGGTGGGACAAGCCACTTCTGGATTCCAATTAGTGATTTACGTCTTGCATACCCCCCTATGGGAACTTCCTGGTAGCACTTCAATTTACTGCTAGGCTCTGCTGCTGCTGTAACCCTTTACTTCCAGCTTTCTCTGATGGGGGGACCACAATTGTTAACTTTTGGTCCTTGCTTGTGTTAACATTTTTATGTGGATTTTGCAACTCCATCTCTTGATGCAAGCATCAAGTGGAGAAGCGACCCTTTTTATGTACGAGTACGTCCTTACAAGTACTGGGTCTTATCACTTATGCTAGTCTGTCTTAGACGTGCATATGGACTCTAAAGCTCTAACTCTCCTGAGAGTAGGCTTTTGCAAGTCATGTGATAAAAGGGCGAGACTCCGTCTCAGCGCCTTTGTGGAACTGTCAATTGTTGTGCTACAACAAGTGGGCCGAAATGGTGAATGCCAGAGACGTCCTCGGTGGCGATGTCTCTCAGGTAGTGGTTGGCAAACACCATGTCCGATTTCCACAAGCAGCCCTCCATTATCGTCGTGATAGAGCAATTTCCATGTAGAGCGAGTGTTGATGCCAGAGCTCTTATTTCATGTGGATTGGAGTCTCTTGGAGGATCAAGTCCTGCTGCTTTGTAGGCCCGTAGTATGACAGTTCTCATCCATATTGATATCGTAGTGCGAGAGATCTCCGTCTGTGTCGCTGTCGATATAGGGATGAAAAGACGCTTGAATTTTCGTCTCCTGGTCCTAGACCTTTGTAGGTAGACTTTTAATACTCTTACTGGGCATAAGGATAGGTCCTGTGTATCCTGTGGCCCAAGGACTGATGATAGTCCTGGGATGTGGAATTGTCTGTCCGGTTGACCTGGCAGTTGATTCTTTGCTATAAAGTCCCATCTCAGTCCCATATGCACGATGTTTCGATTTCCGTCAAATCGTGTCCTCTCAAAGTCTAGAGAATGTATTTCCGACATCCTTGCTGCTGTTGCTAAGGCGATCAGGAATAGAGTTTTCTGCGTCAAGAACTCAAAAGATGTCCTATCTAATGGTTCATAAGCGTCACTGGTGAGATGCCGTAGAACTATGTTGAGGTCCCACGCCGGAGATATAAATCTCTGTTGTTGGTCCTCCAGTTTAAAAGAGCGTAGTAAGGCCAGTAACTCTGGTACCTTAGTCAGTTTTACACTCGTCCTCATAGTGATAACTGAGCTCAATGCCGCTAGGTATGTTGACCCTTTTAACCGCTTCGTTTGTCTTAGGTGACAAAGATAGTCCGCCACTTGAGGGTGTGTCGCTTTTATGGCTGTGAAGCCTGTTTTCAAAGCGTAGGTCTCGAAGCTTCGCCATTTGTCGTCGTACAAGTTGCATGTTGACTTGCGTAAAGCTAGCGAAACTGCTTTCGCTGCTCTGGCGGAATATCCTCTCTTATTCAAGCACGCCTTGATACGCTCCACGCGTGTAGCCGGAACACCTCTGGGTTGCCGTGTGCTTGCTTTGTGTGTGGATGTACTAACAAGTTCGTCCACTCTGGTAGTTGCAGTTGAGGCGGTCCTAGTTCTTGTATGAGAATGGGGAACCACATTCTCGCTGGCCAGTAAGGC